ATAACAGTTTTTCCCTTGATTTGATGTCCGTGCTGAGCACCAATGCTATAGCCGGCGCCGGTGGTGTAGTGGTAAGCGTGACTGCTTTCTAACACCCCAATGGGTCTGGGTTCAATCCCAGCCGAGGTCGGTGGGATTTTTGAGGCATAAAAATCTCTGGTCACGTCTTCCTTCGGAAGGGAAGTAAAGTCGTTGGTCCCGGCCCATGTGTGTTGTGAATGGGTGCAATATCCTACGCAGGTGTGGAAGCTGCCTTCCTGCACATTCGATTGCCGTCAATGGATGGCAATCGATGTCCGTCGGTGATTGGCACTAGATTGCGGAACAGAGACCGACGTTAAATAAAGGAAAGAAGAAGAAGAAGAAGAAGAACACAAATGCTACCGACGCTAGGGAGGCAGCTCCCACACCTGGACCCTACCTATTGACCCATCAACTCATGAACCGGGGACCTAAGGAAGGCGTGATCAGTATGTTATGCCTCAGAACATCCCGGCGGCGCCGACTGGGATTGAACCCTGGCCTGCTGTGGTGAGAGGTAATCACGCTTACCTTACTCAGTTTGTTATTAGATCAAACTTCTGGTTCTGAATCAGGAAGACAGTCAACGTTTATAAAGCTTTTAATAAGTAAATTAATCATATCCCCTGTCCAAGGATGAGGGGCTTGATGATGATTTGTCAAGCGTCGCTATGATTTTTTTTAATTTGTTAAAATTCTAGTTTTTCTTCAGTTCATTGATTTGAATGGTTCAAGCGAGTTAATTTCACGGAGCCGTAAATTGTAGTTTTATAATAATTTTAATATTAGCATAAAATAAAATAGTTATTTTAAATTCGCTTTTGTAATGCTAAGGTAAATAGTTTGCTTTGAGTGTAAATTTAATTTATAAGAAAGTTCTAACAGTTTTTTGCACTTCGAAACTTGACGGGTCATACCTCTAACATAGTAGCAGTGACAGTGTCGCATGTTCTTATCTGTTCCCAGTGCACAAAAAAGGAGATAAACGGAATGTCATAAATTATCGTGGAATCACCTCCCTGTGTGCCTGCTCAAAACTGTTCGAGATTATCATAAATGGTGCTCTGTTCGCACGCTGCAAAAATTATATCGATACAGAACAACACGGTTTCTACCCGAAGCGCTCCGTGTCCACGAACCTGGTGCAGTTCACTTCTAACTGTCTGCGATGCATGGATTCAGGATGGCAAGTCGATACTGCGTATATGGATCTAAAAGCTGCATTTGACACGGTGGACCATAATATCCTGCTGGCCAAGCTGGAGATACTTGGCATCTCGTCAACTGCTGTGGATTGGTTCAGATCTTACTTGGTGAATCGCTATGTACATGTCAAGATTGGCGCGTCGGAATCGGATGTTTTCTCAAACAACTCGGGAGTCCCGCAAGGCAGTAACCTAGGACCGCTACTATTTTCGATCTTTTTAAACGATGTCGCCTTGCTGATACCATTTGGATGCCGCGTTTTCTATGCAGACGATACGAAAATCTACAAAATTATTAAAAGCCTCTCGGACTGCTGGGATCTCCAGAATATGTTAGGTATTTTTGCTGACTGGTGCTCAAGAAATTTGATGAGTCTAAGCATAGAAAAATGTAACATTATTTCATATCACCGAAAAATTGAACCAATCATGTTTGACTATGTTCTCTACGGACGCTGTCTTGCTCGTGTAGAGCACATAAAGGATCTCGGCGTTACCTTGGACTGCAGACTCACTTTCAGAATCCACTACAATGACATCATCTCCAGAGCTAATCGACAATTGGGCTTTATTTTCAAAATTGCCGACGAGTTTCGTGACCCGCTATGTCTCAGGTCACTTTACTGCTCGCTTGTGCGATCCTTATTGGAGTCAAGTTCAGTTGTTTGGTGCCCTTTCCATGCTAGCTGGATCACTAGAATTGAATCCGTTCAACGCAAGTTTGTGAGATATGCTCTTCGTTTCCTCAACTGGCGTGACCCAACGAACTTGCCACCGTACGAGGAGCGTTGCCGTCACCTGGGAATCGAGCCATTAGAGGAGAGACGGACGGTCGCTCAAGCTATGTTCGCTGGAAAGCTGCTTACAGGTGACATTGACTGCCCAACACTGCTGTCACAACTAAATATGTATGCCTCTGAGAGGTCTCTTCGTCAACGCGACTTTCTGTTTTTGGAACCACGGAGCCGGAATTATACACAACACGAGCCAATTCGAGCAATCAGCCGGCAATTCAACAACTTTTTTTATATGTTCGACTTCAATGTATCAGCTGACGTGTTTCGTCATCGGCTACTTGGCCTTTTCCGTACCGTTGACCGTAACTATTTAGTTTAAGTTTTATTCATTTAGACAGTATTTGTCAGTTGAATTTTTCAATAAACAATAAACAATAAACAATGTCCTAACAACAACTGCCTGCGACTAGTGTTCGAGGGGCCGACAGGGCTGAATAAGGGACAATACTAACAAAACTATAACACTAACATGACCCCGAAACTAACGTTCATCCATTTCCTAATAACCCATCTATCACAGACAAACAGACATAACACTCGCAGGTTGTTCATCGAATACGCATTTGACGGTCAATTTGAGTGTTTTTGGTTGGCGGTGCCGCCACCTGTGGCGCGTACGGTCGGTTCCCTTGCGTTTGACGTCTGCACACTAGCGCCATCTGTTAAGCGCACTATCCATCACCTGATACTCGACAGATGGCGGTAGTGTTTTAGTGACTATGTTTTGTGGAGAGAAATCTCGATGAACATTTCAAATGGTCCTATCTGCTTTGATCGATTCTCTTCATCGACTTTCTCTTTCGTCAATAACTCAGCTCCAAAACCTTTCCCTGTTGTATTTGACGTTTTGGACGCTAGATAAGAACCTCCTTTATCAAACTATGTGGTAGAATTAGCGCGAAATCTGTTTGCATAGCAGTGGTTATGAAAAGAGAAAGTCGATGAAGAGAATCGATCAAAGCAGATAGGACCATTTGAAATGTTCATCGAGAAATATTAAATGTGTTATTTCTGTTTGTCTGTGCATCTATGTTTCTTTTTCGTCGTGTGTGTGTGTGGGGGGGGGGGGGGGGGTAATGTAACCAATACTAATACCTTTCTCTCTGTTATTTTATTCGTTTTCTATATCCCTTCACCATCACCCCATATCCCATCATCTTGACGAGAGATGAGTTACTTGCATGGTGCATGCCTAAGTCGTACTACAGGATAATATGCTGAGCGTGGTTCTATCACAATAACCACGCAGGAACGCAAATCGATACAGCTGAAGAATAATGAGGTAAATTCTACACAGTATTTTAAAGGAGCCAACTCTAAGTAGGTATTAATAGCAATTAATAATCAAACAACCATAATAAGGTAAGAATGAATTTATTTATTTTAAATACAGTAATGACGCGATTTTGTCAGCCCCTCCGCGCTTCAGACTTTTTTCTTTCAATAATTTCACATACCCATAAATCTAATTTTTTCTCATTCATCGTTAAGAGGGATATTTAAAGTATACTTTGGTGCAATAGGTTCAAAAAGATTACTGAAAAAGGGCATGGGTTTTGTAGAATATTGGAATACATTTTCAAAAAAGGAGGCTGACAAAATCGGGACATTACTGTATTCCATTTACATTTACATGATTTATCACAGGTTGGAGCGTAGTTGCTTTTGTGGATGGGCACGACATTTGCCGGTTTCTCGCGAATTGGGGCTCAGTTTGGAAAAACTAATAACACAAACAGGTAGAGGAATATTTCCTCTATGATTTGGTATAGTTTGTTTGCAGGATTTTTCTTTTGTTCGCGTTTTGTTGTATTGTGTATCGCATGGAGAGCCCAACCGAGATGCTAGCCTATTAAGCCTGCAGTTGGTCAACTATAAAAAAAAACAGTAAGTAAATTAATCATATTAGAGCAGCGGCGCCGGTGGTGTAGTGGTAAGCGTGATTACCTCCCACCCCAGCAGGCCTGGATTCAATCCCAGTCGGCGCCGCCAGGATGTTCTGAGGCATAACATTCTGATCACGTCTTCCTTCGGAAGAAAAGTACGGCCGTTGTTCCCTGGTTCATGAGTTGATGGGTCGATAGGTAGGGTCCAGGTGTGGGAGCTGCCTCCCTGGCGTCGGTAGCATTGGTGCTCAGCACGGAAAACAAATCAAAGGAAAAATATTTATATCAGAGCAAACAGCGGAATAAAGGCGCATCCACAGACAAACAGACATAACGCATTGAATATATCTCACTGTAAAACATTACCGCCGTCTGTTGAGTACACTGTGGTGGGTGGTACATTGAACAGATGGCGGTAGTGTGTAAACGTCAAACTCAAGGGAAATGACTATGCGCGCCAGAGGTGGCGGTAGTACCAACTACGATGCTTTTAAATTGACGGTAAAATCGATGAACTAATTGCGAGTGTTATGTCTGTTTGTCTGTAGCTCATCTATCGATCTCAATGAGCTTTTTTCAGCACATAAATAAACAACATGTTTTATTCAGTATTGTACACTGTTATACAGCATTTATTCAATATGTATGCTTATTTGTGACTTTGAATTGTTTGTTGGGTCGGCTCAGTTTAGTTCCAAGGAACAATAAGCCTAACAAATAAATATTATTGAAAAAAAAGTAGATGACCCATCTTAACCCGCCCCGAGACCCATCTTGGTTTCCCCTAACCCTCTTTGTTGTGGTATTGTTTAAATCGTGTATTTAATATTCTCTCCGGTAGTCACTACAAGCTGATTATGATTTGAGTAGTCATTTGAAAGTTTATTAGAAAACATCGTACAGTAGCTCAAAATAAAATATTATGTATCAAACATTAGCATACAATCTATTCAAATTCAAAGCAAAAATATCAAAGCTTAACGTTTAATAAATAGATAACATTCTTACTTACTGGAACTTTTTTCACAGTTCTTATAACATCTTAAAACTTAGATCATTAAAATAAGTTAAAACCATTCTTCTTAAGCAAATTCAAGTAAAAACTCACCCCATTCAACAACCCCTGGCATGCTTCTCCATGTGTCGATTATACGTCGTAAGGTAGCACAATTTCTTTCCGCATGCTTCGCATCTGAACTTACGTTCCTTAATTCCTAGACGGATCTGCAGCTCCGAGCCTTCGTGATACATTCGGATGTGGTTTTGCAAACTCTGTTTGAATCTGTACTTGCGTTCGCAAATGGCGCACTGGAACTCCGGATCACTGTGCACTTTCAGATGCAGTTTGTAGTTCTGTCGACGGGCGAATCGCTTTGGACAATGTGGACACGCAAATGGGGTCACACCTTGGTGAGTCGCTAAGATGTGATGCTTCAAGTGTTGTTTTTGCCGGAACGTGCTCGTGCAGATGTCGCAGTGGTAGGGCCACTCGGCATTGTGGATGCGCAAATGGTCATTCAGATGTGGTTCTTGTCGAAAAGATGCTCCACACTCCTTGCATTCGTAGGGTCGTTTACCCGAGTGTATTCTTTGGTGAATTTCCAATACACTTCTGCAGTTGAACGTTTTACCGCATTCATTGCACTGGAAGTTTTTTTTCTTCAGTCTGGTTATTGGCTTCAGTTCGGATGATTCCGGGGATCCTTCACTGTAATCGGATAGCTTTTCCTCTGAGATTGACTCAATAAATGTTAGCCCTGAGTGATTATCCAAAACTTCTACGAAGGCGATCTTTGTTTTTGCGGATTTTAACAGGTTATTTGATTTGCAGATGTCACAAATCGTAATATCCTATTGTATGAACGGAATAAATGGAAGACAAATGTTTGGTTGAGTAATGTCAGTTTTTTTTTGTTTATAAATGTACAATCGAATAAAAGAGTAATCACGCCATTTAGGGTGACAGCTTAGTTTTCAAGACTTGACCCATTTGAATAAATGTTGCTTCAATCACTGGATTCCGTGTGTATTGTTTCAAGATAGTTATAGAAAAAAGTAAGAGGTTGTATCCAAGACACTGCCGTAGATTTGACGTAGGATTACGAAAGGTAGTTATGATGTCACAGCAAAAGTATAGTAAATATTAAATTGATTTTGAGAGTTCTGTTTTTGAGGTGCTCTATCGATGTTCATGTAGTACAAGCCAATCCTGGACGATATGTCTTGGATTCAAACTCTTACTCTTTAGTTTACTCTTTTATTAGCCATTTGTGGTCCTGAAAAGGACCGATGGGTAGCTAAGAACAATACTGTGGAAATTTAGCCTCGATGTTTTTCGAAATGATAGCGGTGCGAAAATGAAATATGTGAAGATATGGATGTAATGTCGGCCTAAATGCCCCTAATTTGGGCCCATACATAAATTCAGCAATAGACTAAATATTCAATGGCGACTAAAAATATCCGTTAGTTCAGTCACAATGACGCGTTCATCTAGATAAAATTGATAAATAGCAGATTTTTAGCGATGAGCCCAATCTTAGATCCATAGGCCAACATTAGAGCCATTTCTCCGGACGGTACCTACGTTTATACTTTTGATGCAAATTTTAAGCCCCTTCTATTAAGAGAATTCAGCAAAGGTTATTTTTGCTCTTAATACGAGGGGCTTAAAATTTGCACCAGAAGGACTGTGTTAGGGAAACCACTTTTCCCATCACGGAAACGCCTTGTTTTCTGCTGACAAAATTACGCATTTACGTGCACAAAACGCACGGATTTTTTTGTTTTATTCATTAGATAATAAAAAAAATGAATGGAGGAATTTTTTGCTCAAATTTTTCCAATCGCGATCAATCATATAAATTCGAGTTTTATTTGCTTTTTCTAGCGTCCTGGATAAAACCTTACTTATGCGGTGATGTGGCTGGTAGAAAGGCGAGCGAACGTTCCATGAAAATGAACTCTAAAACAACAATAATTTATGGTGATCCTAAAAAGGACCGTTTTGTCGTAATAGTTAAGTAATGCTGAGCTATTAGGCTGTTCAACACGGATGAGGCTTGCGAGCTGTATGTTGTTTGGAACGAGGGGGACGCGCTTGGCATAGATGACCCACAGATTGCACCAATACATTTGGGCCGACAATTCCACATCTTCTTAAGACCAGGTTTAGCCTTGATAGCTAGCTGCTTGACATCCGATTGATGACCTTGACAAATGTCTAAAACATACTCTTTAACAAATGTATGGTGGTCCTGAAATGGACCGTTTTGTCGTGATGATTGAGTAATGCTGAGCTATTAGGGTGTTCAACGCGGATGAGGCTGGCGAGCTGTATGTTGTTTGGAGCAAGGGTGAAGAAACTGATTCCGATCCAGCGGTGCGGCTTCTTCCTTTTTCTATGGATGCTCATGTGGGCTGCAGCTCGCTGCTTGCAGGCTGCCTTTCGTTGTGTACTGGAGAACAATGTTCAACGCCATACGTTGAAAGCACTGCTGCTGCTGACACCGACGACCGGACACCACCACACACGGTGATTGAATGAGCACCGTTCAGTGAGACAGGATCGAATTCGATTTTTAAATCTGTGTTAGGGAATGCGCTGTTTGCAGGCAATCGGTGATAATTTTGATCACCATTGCAATAGTTGGACATTTGTGTAATTTGCAGTAGTGACCAATTGAAAATTAATATAGAGTTCAATTTAGCAGATTCGTAGCTAAATTTCTAATCTAATGACTTATTTAGAATTAAAATCCATCTGCTATTGACAAAGTTATATGTGGTCAAAACATGACCTCTTTTCGTAATGCGATCGATTTTGGTTTTTTTTTTTGATTGCACCCCTAATGTGTTGCCGAAAGACGTAATCCTACGTCAAAATGCTGTGACGTGTGCGCGTAGATACATCCGCTTAGTAATCCGATTGAATAAGTAAATCCGCTTCGAACGATTTCTTGTATTGAGAGAATAATTCAAGCTGAACATTGCATTAGGTCCTAAGTAACATTGACAGATTCTCTTCGTCGACTTTCTCTTTGCATCCTCACGGCCATGTAAAGCCATTCCCAGGTATTTTCAGCACACAGATCGATAAAAGAAGCATTTATCTAGCATCTAATACGACATACACATCAAGAAACGGTTCTGTGCTCAAGTTATTAACTAAAGTGAATCGATCAATGTTAATTAGGACCTAATGCAATGTTCAGCTTGAATATAGTTATCGAGAACAATAAACTCAGGGGAAAACAATACCTACAAAAGATTAAAAGTTATTAATTGACACATACCTCTAATTTGGCTTAGTTCCTAAACTATTCCTCTCCTTGTTAATCTGCTTAATGCTATTGGTCTGCTAGCGTTTTCTCATTGAAGTTCAAGACTAAATAGGAAGATTTATTATACAACTTTAAAGATTAGTTGCCTCCCTAAGCGGACCCCCCGCATCCTAACTCTTATATTAATCTTCTTAATGTTATAAGACTTTCTGATTTTTCTTATTTAAGTTCATTTGATGATTATGATATCTCATTAGTCTAATTTAATAAATAATTGTAATCTCTAAATCACCTAATCAAGCATAACCCATGCTTTATTAAGTACCTGTACTTGTGCTTGTAATCTAAAATTAAACGTGTTTCAAGTACTTTTGACTTTGCCGTATGACAAAAAATACGTATGGGTATGTCACAATAGAAGCACACCACAGTGGAAATCTCGAGCCATAGTCCAAACACTTATCCCAAATCAAAATGAAGCACATATAAGATTAGTTACAATACCATGTACAAAAATGGTGTTTAACATTGTTCCCTGAGTAATACTTCAATGAAAACAACAATGAAAGCTTGTCACGCAAATAGAAGGAGCACTGTTGGGCAATTTCTGAAATATTTTAATAGTATAATTCCCTTGCAAACCCAAATCTATCTGCGTAAAAATAAATAAGAGTGATTTGCGGGAAAACCCGCCAGTATCGCACTCAACGTCAGTACATATACGTAAGCGTACTACAAGGCGGCTCTCAAACAAAGGAGTAACAAGTGTGATACTATCACTGCTAGACTAGATCTTTGGTTCTCTCATGCAGTGGTTCATCAGAAAGGGGAAGCTTAGTAATCCCCATCGCTTGCTCATGACGCTAATCTGCCTCGGCATGAGCCAACGATGCTGGACCTAAACCAACCGTCTCCAACACTCACTATAAAGCATGAAATTTATCCCGCCCACCAACAACAAGGTGCAAAAACTAGCCAAGGGGAGGGCTGGATTAAGTTCAGCAATCTATTTTACCGAGATACAAATATAAGATTAAGTGTGTAATAAGTAATTAAACTAATAGTTTAAATGTTACAGTTGTACGTTAATTCAATTTTACCGTGCACAGGTTTTAATATTAACATTTCAAATCAAATTGCTTGGATAGTTAAACACTTGGTTCAGAAAAAAAGGGATGAGTGTACGAAGCCTTGTTATGGAAGTCAAACAATCATATTTTCAATGAATAATTTTATAAATAATTTAATCACAGACAAACAGACGTAACTCTTCATTGTGTATCTTCGTTCATGCATTTAACGGTTGATTTGAATATTATCAGTTCCGCGAACTACTCGCCGCAGCGCTGGCATCGGATCACTTTGACGTTTATATATATTATATAGAAATTTTATGCAATATTGTTTACGAGTTAGCGAGCAAGCTTGTTTTCCGCGAGAAGCCAGATAGATGTCGTTACTGAGGTTATATGCTTTGATATACTATGTTTTCAAGAACAAGTTTTTCAAAGAGTTACGTCTGTTTGTCTGTGATTTAATCATCAAGTTACACCAGCTTGTTGAGGTGGAAATTTTTAAAGCTCAAAATAAATTAAATATGATATTTATTTTGTCAATACTGCTTGAGGGAACGTGTGCACTAGACAGATTAAAACCTTTTTGATAATAAAAAACAGAATAAAATAGGAAATTTATATATTTGTAGCACATTTATATACTCACCGTAGTGTTTTCAGGCGAATTTACCATCGAGTTGCATACAAGGCACGCTCCAAAGTCCGATGAAGGTCCTGTTTCTCCTGTTCCAGGAGTCCTATTTACAAAAGATAAGTGAATGAAAAAAATTAAATATGAAATTTTCCGGAGACGAACCAGTCTAGGGCGGAAAGTCTCCTCAAAACAAATAAAAAAAAATGTGCAATTTGAAGAAGATAATTTGAGTCGTTGTCGTTGCGTAAAAAAGAGACCATTTCAGTGCTAACATTTGAAAACGGCGCAATAGCCATTTGTAAACAAATGGTTTTTGGGCCCTTTACTCGCTACCCGAAGAACGCCCACGCAAACCAACAGCATCGTCAGGAAGGGGAAAATTTCCCCTACCCGATGTTGCTGTTGTGTCGCGTGGGTGTACTTCAAGTAGTGAGTAAAGGGCCCACAAACCATTTGTTTACAAATGGCTTTTGTGCCGTTTTCAAATGTTAGCACTGATTTATTTAAAATACATAAGGATAAGCAAAAACTTTAAATGCTCCTTTTTTGCAGCAAGATAAATCATGTCTCAGAACACCTTTTGCGTGAGTCCTTGGTTAAACCTCAGTGGTTGGAATAGAGTCTACCTCTGGTTATGCTGGGGGTTATATGCCTTTCGTAGCTATGGATTAAAAAAGTCCGCAAATGCCCCCCTCTCAACTCAGTAACACAAAGGCTTTCTATGAAATGGCTTCGGTGAAACGGCAATCGGCCAAATTCTCCATAGTAATTTTTTTTTTCGCCCCTCCTTAGCTCAAAACCTGGCTACGCCCTTGGTGACAGCTGACATGCAACATTTCTCGATTCTCATTGACGAATTCTCGGACGAAACCCTACAGCGATTTTCATGTCCGGTTGTATTGGTGCGATATGTGAGAGCGTGTTAGTGAATATCCGAGGAAAATGCATAACAAATCGATGTCAAACTCATTTTGACAGATCTACTTTCATACATTTTTTAGGTTAGCCAGAGGAAAATAATAAACAACTTTACACGGCGTTGCCCCCACTAGTGTGCGTGCGTTAAGCGTCACTAATCTCTATTGACAAATCCAAGTTTATGCCGGCCACCGCGGCGCTGTAATCGTAGCGGTGATGAACTTGAGATCATCTGTCAAACTGCATATATTTTCAAGTTTGTGATAAGAAAATTATGTTTTACGCTGTTTTACGTGTTATTGTAATTGCTTTATTCAATAACAGAAAGCAAATATGAACAGAAAAGTAGCGCCGGTAAGAATGGTAAGTAAATCCTAAATTTTAAAAGCAAAATTATTGAGATTTCTTCAAAATGAAAAATATGTTGCTCCCAGCAAAACATCAACAAATAATGTTAACAATATTTTTTATTGTTCCATCCGCAGAAATATCATCTTTCCTATAGCTGAACCTGAATCTTTCTTATAGCTGAAAGAATATAGCTGAACGGAAACCCTTTCTTCTCTGGCATACATAGAATCTCTCTGGTAAGTAGAATTAGATATTTAAGTGCTAAATTATTGAAATAGCATTGAAATAAACAAAAATCGTAGAACAAACATGATAAACCCAACTCCCTGCATGCTTCGGTCGATGGTTGCAAATCGTATCCGAATACAATACTACCATAGAGGTAACTCTAAGACCACTGGGTCCCGAAGAAAATCATTATTATTTTTGGCTCACTCAGTACCAGAACAACGGTCCCAAGCAGTCCCAAGCTATTTCACTCACCCCTGCATGTTCTGCATGAATCCACACACCCCTGATGTTATCTGTCAAACTTTCATAGCGAATCAAAACAAACATAGTGTAGTAATAGAATTTCAACTAGAATAGGGTACGTTAATCGTTTGCTTGGGACCAATAGGCTACTAAAGTGGTGAACCAATTTAAAATCGTTAGTTTCGTATTGATTGTTGATACTACCGTATTAAACCAATAACTAGCATCGGGTGCCTGCATTGGAGTACATTTTACAAAGGGGCTCTTCTATTTTTATTTAGATTGGTTGGTCACGCCCTAATAAAAAATTACCATACACGAACGATAACCCAAATCATTGAACTATTCCACAAATTGTTTGGATGATACCTTGAACACGTCGTTAAGCAAATTAACCATAACATTTTTATTAGGGCGTCTCCATATCAACATTAATCGATGTGGTATGGCTGTTAACATAACCATGTCCATAACCTTAGCATGTTTTTTCAATTTATTTTGAAAACTAGTAATTTTTATTTTAGGATAAACACATCTCACAATAGATTTTTAGGTTTTGTACAAGATTCATTCATTTTAATAGCATATTTACACGAACTAGCACTGTAATTTAACAAATTTCCATAAAAATAATGAAATTTACAATGGCTGTCACTATCTGATCACCCTCGGATAGTGCTTACCCGAAAAAAAATTACAGTGAAATTTTCAGTGGAAACAATGCTCTAACATTAATATTTATTGTCGACAATAAAAATGATTGTTATAATGTTGTACTCTTCCGAAAACGGCAAAACTGCTACCTAGCTGTACAATGAATGAACATAATAAAATGTTGTTACAATGATTTTTATCGTATTTTTCATTTATTTTATTGTTAACATGATTCGATCATGAACAATAATGAACAACTCTATTACAATAAAAATTGTTGTTACATTAAATATTGGTGTATTTTCATTGTGGGTTACTTCACGAACAATAAAAATAAATCTGATTGAAGCATGCAGACTATGAAAGGGTCAGCAACACTGCCAATGTAATTAAGATAGGCGCTGCTCGTATGGCTCTGGCTTTGACAGTTCGTTTGGCTCAAAATCAGGCAGTCCGCGTCCGCTCATATCTTATCCTAAACCCTCTCTAAAGCTTTTCCGTGCAGTCAATAATCATACAATAATAATAAAAAATTCCACCACTTGAAGATGTCAGAAAGGAACTCTCAGGTGGAAGCATATTTCATGGGCGATTCTCTCCAGTCGAATGCATTAACTTATCAACGGCGCTCAACCACCAAGAAGACGTGACCTAGGGATATCGAGCGCAGGGGAGTTGGCCTGTATTTCTCACATGTTCCGGATCGAATCTCGATCCATAACCAGTAAAAAAAGGACCACCCGTAACAGACATACCACCCCCTTCCCTTCCCGGGGCAATGTTTTATGTTTTCGATTTATTTTTAAAGTCGATAAAGTAGATCTGTCAAGCCAACACATACACTCTAAAGTACACTGTTATTTTTTTAATCATTAAATTCGCCAACCAACAGTAAAATAACAATAATATATTATGTTATTGAAAAAAAAATTATATGGGAAAATCACGAAAATTTCATTGTTAAGATACTTAACAACCCCCCTTTTTTATTGTAAATTTTCCATTTACCATGAAATTTATTGTTTTGTACAACATAAATCAAGGTAAATTTATTGTAGACGTAACAATATAAATCATTGTTAAGACAATAATTTTCGTCTTATTGTTACATTGTTTTTTAATGTATTTTTGTTGTTATTTTTTTTCGGGTATTCCTGTCACCAGGCGCGCATTAGTTTAAGTTGGATTCGTTAATTATGAAATCCAATACTTGGCGAATAGATTCATGTTATTTCATACTTCGTTTGGAATGTGTCCATCTGGGAACTCTTTATCACAGACAAACAGACGTAACTCTTTGAAAAAGTTTTTCTTGAAAACATAGTATCTCAAAACATAGGACCTCAAAACATCTCTTGGGCTTCTCGCAGAAAACAAGCTTGCTCGCTAACTCGCAAACAATAATGCATAAAAGTTCTAAATAATGTATAGAAACGTCAAAGTGATTCGATGTTAGCGCTGCGGCGAGTAGTTCGCGGAACTGATAATATTCAAATCAACCATTAAATGTGTGAACGAAGATACACAATGAAGTATAACCATAGAGGTAACTCTAAGACTAGTAGGTCCCGAAGAAACAAGCTCAACTTTTTGGCTCCGCTCTGGTACTATCTTCGGTCCCAAGCTAATCGATGCACCTCTCGAAGCATAGGAAAATCCAAGAACCCCTCATTTTATCTGTTAAACTTTCATAGCGAATCAAAACAAACATAGTGTAGTACTAGAATTACGACTAGAATGGGTTACGTTAATCGATTTGCTTGGGACCAAAAGGTAAGTCAAGTAGTGAGCCAATTTAAAATCGTTAGTTTCCACCGGTTGGTATTACTTATGTTTGTCTATGTCTTTATTATTATTAGTATTATTATAATCCTTCTAAACTGGTGTTATAGCATTCTACAAGTCTAAATCATGGTCTACAGAACCCTCATAAAACCAAAATTGTTACTTGGGAAGAGAGCCCAATTTTAATCGCCAATTAAAATACATTTCACCAAAAAATACTAGTTGTATGAAGATTGGTTTTGGAGAACCATTCAGATCAATTACAGATTGAAAAACGCTTGTACTCACTTTTTTATTTTGTTGTGCTTCACGAAGAGTTCTCGGTTTTTGTTTTTTTTCTGATTTCAATAACAAAATTTCAACCCGTTCAAGCATATGGGCCTATCTACATAGACTTCTCTGACGTTTGTGAATTTAATTTCATCAATCAATTCATCAGCCTTTTTGTGATGGATAGGCCCTTTTTGTTAAGCCGTTCTGCTTGTCATCAGAAATGGTATACGTCCTTTGCTAAGCTTTTTCGCAACGTCAAAAAAATTCAAAACAAATCATCGGCCCTCCCTAATAAAATGTTATGATTAATTTGCTTAACGACGTGTTTGGGGTATCATCCAAACCATTTGTGGAATAGTATTGACATTAAGAAAGTATTTCAAGTATTTAATGCAGTAATGGCAAGATTTTAAATATTTGGTCAGCACGCTGTGTAGTATTGAAAGACTACCCAACAAACAATTTTAGCTGCAGACTAGCTTATACAGGCAAAAATTAGCTGTATAAGCCAATTTTTGGCTGTATAAGCTAATCTGCAGCTAAAATTGTTAGTTGGGTAGTGACCATTTCGAAAATCGAGTTATTTTTAATGATTTTTATCGATTATGCGGAACTTTCCTACACGATTAGAAGCTATCAAGCGGTGCT